TCCCCGGCATGCATGCGCGGCGGCGAAGGCGCGGGTCATTCACAGGCGTGTCCACGGCCCGGATGCCTCACAGGGACTCCTCGGTGGAGAGCAGTAGCCGGTTGATGTACTCGAACCCCTTGAACTCGGACTGGTCGATCCTCTTTATGACGTCCTCGTCGTCGGGGGTCAGCTGCACGGGCTAGCTGGTGAACTGCGTGTCGAAGTTGTCCAGGCCGTAGTCGTCGGTGATCTGCGGCTGGAAGGGCGGCAGCGCCTGCTTCTTCTCCAGCTGGGGACACGCGAGAGGTCACGTCAGGGTCCCCGTCCTCGGCGGCTCCACAGACCGAGACCGGGAGGCACACGGCGTTCGGTAACGGGTGAGCCCAGTGGCACCCCTGGGCGCATTCTGGGCCCGCAGCCGCCAGTTCTAACAAAAACGAGGGGCCGGGACACTGGTGCCCGGGAGCTTTTGGGGAGCTTTTGGGGGCGTGACAACACACACAGGTGCTGCCAGAGAAGCCGCTGAGGACGCCGTGTGCTTGCGCGGAACCGCAGGGGCCTGGAACCTCCCACCACCCGGCGGCCACACGTGGATGGAGTCCCTCCCCCACCCACAAACGCTGACCCACGTCCTGTGTGTGGGAAGTGCCCACGGGAGGGACACGCCCGTCACCCCAGAGCGGGGCTCTCTCTTTTAAAAGAAAATATTTTTATTGATTTCAGAGAGGAAGGGAGAGGGAGAGTTAGAAAAATCAATGATGAGAGAGAACCCTTGATGGGCTGCATCCTGCACGCCCCCCACTGGGGATCAAACCCGCAACCTGGGCATGCGCCCTCGACCGGAATCGAACCTGGGACCCTTCAGTCCGCAGGCCGACGCTCTATCCACTGAGCCACACTGGCCAGGGCTGCGGGGCTCTCCTCAGACCCAATTCAAGCTGAAGTTCGACATTCACTTCATTAATATAATCCGTTTTCCTCCAAAACATCACACCTTAAAGGCCCTATTCAGTAACTGCAACCGCATGTATGTCCCAACACACGGGGCTCCTTCCTCCTTTAATACCAGGAACCACGGCTGAACTCAGGCGGCTGGAACCCCTGGAGGGACCACAGGCGCGGGGTGGGCGCCAGGCTTCAGAAAACAAACCCACACGGAACCAGAGGACGCCCCTTCTCCCCGGACCCCGCACAGAACCACCAC